AAAATTTGATAAATGGTGAGGGCTTTTTTGAATGAGTTCTGTTGAACTTCCGCGAAATTCAAGGTAATTACGTCATTACTCAGGAAATCATTTTTCACAGAAGAAATAACTGTTGAGCTTCAAGAATTAGTCGAAAAAAAAATGAACAACCAATTGCGAGATTTTACCAACTGATTGTGTACTCAAATAATCAACAAAATTGACATTAACTAAATCCAGTCAATACCGAAATTTCCAATGGGATGGCCCCCAATGAAGTTAAATATCACAGAAAAATAAAGCGATAAAATAGCTGGGCCAGACTGATCGATCAGAAAAAATGAGAAAACTCGATAAAAAAATACGAGGGTTTGGAAAATTTGATAAATGGTGAGGGCTTTTTTGAATGAGTTCTGTTGAACTTCCGCGAAATTCAAGGTAATTACGTCATTACTCAGGAAATAATTTTTCACAGAAGAAATAACTGTTGAGCTTCAAGAACTAGTCGAAAAAAAAATGAACAACCAATTGCGAGATTTTACCAACTGATTGTGTACTCAAATAATCAACAAAATTGACATTAACTAAATCCAGTCAATACCGAAATTTCCAATGGGATGGCCCCCAATGAAGTTAAATATCACAGAAAAATAAAGCGATAAAATAGCTGGGCCAGACTGATCGATCAGAAAAAATGAGAAAACTCGATAAAAAAATACGAGGGTTTGGAAAATTTGATAAATGGTGAGGGCTTTTTTGAATGAGTTCTGTTGAACTTCCGCGAAATTCAAGGTAATTACGTCATTACTCAGGAAATAATTTTTCACAGAAGAAATAACTGTTGAGCTTCAAGAATTAGTCGAAAAAAAAATGAACAACCAATTGCGAGATTTTACCAACTGATTGTGTACTCAAATAATCAACAAAATTGACATTAACTAAATCCAGTCAATACCGAAATTTCCAACGGGATGCTCCCCAATGGTTAAATATCACAGAAAAATAAAGCGATAAAATAGCTGGGCCAGACTGATTGATCAGAGAAAATAGGAAAACTCGATTTAACGAAAGTACGAGTCCGTTAGTTCGATGGCAATCGTTGAAATTGGCCGATACGAACAGTAGTCAGAGGGTGGAAATCGAATTGGACATTGAACGACTGCATTGCCCTGTACGAATTAAACGCTGATGACACAGAGAGAATTGTCGATGTGAGACCAGAGCGGGAATAAGCCGAGGATACGTAAGCTGTGACGCTGTTGCAGAATGGCAACACGTCCATCATTATTCAAGTCGCGACCCTCTTTTACGGTGGCTCTCTCGGGTTTGGGGTCGTCGAACTAGTGGAGGCAGAAATCCATCGTGTGTGTACGTGTATGTGTGTCTGTGTGTGTGTGTCTACTAGCCGAGGAGCCCAATAAACTCCCTTCCTCCAGTTATAACTTGAGGGGTGGTTGAAAATGACAATGCCGTTGACTCTCAGTGCCAAGGCTTTTTGAGGGAAAAAAAATAGCGAGGGGGTAAAAGGGAAATATAGGGAACATGCCAGAGACATCCGGAGAGACTCCCCCGGTACTTTGCGACGGGACACAACTGTGATATTTTTCATCCCTCTATTTATCTCCCTCTCTCTGTCCTCGATTCGTCCCAAGCCGAAATGTATTCTGAGGAATCGTTCCGTTTTTTTTTTCCTGCGGAATGGGAACGCAGGGTGTGGGGATTCCGCTGTGAGTCATCTTTCCCTTTTACGACTTGGAATCAAACACTTGACGTACATCACGTCCCGGAATATTTGCTCAAGCGTTTACGTTTTGGATTCCGTGGGGACAAAAATTCTACCCTCGGTTATAGTCCTGCTGTGTCAGCTGCACATCTGCAACAGTTCAATAAAATTGAATTTCCATCGGCTAGGGGCGGGCGGAGATTCAACATTTTTATTCAGATTTTATTAATTAAAGCTCTCGGCTCTCTCTATTTGTATAGGGTTCCAATTTCCGGGCTCACTCACCTGGTGAAATTCATCGATGATACTGGAGGACAAATGATATTGAAATTGAGAGAATGAAATTTCAACGCTCTCGGTTGAATTCCATTACCTCAAGGGTCTGTATTTATTAATACGTCTTTTTGTTTTTTATCATCGAAAGGGGCTTTTGTTCACTTGACGAAAATCCATTGCCGTTGCCGAACGACAAACGACGACGTCGTATCGGTCGCTCGGCAACGGTTCGTGTTTCCGTGCACCTCGCATTCAATAATTCGCGCTGGGGGGCAGCTTGCCGAGGCCTCCCTCACCCTCCCTCCAGCCCTCTCTCACTCTCATGTATATAACGGACGAGTGTCTGCAGCACAAGCCCCCGGGGCTGGTTTATAGCTTGCCAACTGCGGTCTCTATTTTTCCTCTCCCCTCGCTCTATTTTTTTTTCCAGCACTCCGACACCAGTCAGACTGCTCTCAAACATTTTTATCACGATAATTAACGTGTCACGTGAATAGAAAAAAATATATAAAAGAGCAATTGACAAAAAAAATTAGAGAGAAAAATAAAATGATTGTCGTCAAACTCGTCCCTAGTTTTTTCAATCCTCAATAAGACCGATAAACAATTGGAAAATTCACGCGGTTATTTTTCACCCACCGAAACCCGTATTTTTCAATTCACCTCCGTTGAATTCAACGTGAAATGCTCCCTTTGACCCGGAGCGAGCCGGAAAAAGTAGTAAAAACATTCGAGTAAGACTCAGACATCAAAGAGAGCGCCCAAGATTACATCCATAAATAAAATGGAAGCTGCCTTATCAGTCCATCCACCCCTCCATCGCCGCTCCCCCCGCGATCCAAAAATATTTAAAAACCTGATAAATTCAATTCCGAGTGAAGAGAGCGCTCCACCGCGCCGAGAGTCAGCCCCAACGGTCTCTTTAACTACTTATCCATCATAACCATCAATCAAACTCGACAAATTAGGCCCACCCACCTCCATCTCATCGTCGGCTCTCCCCCCCACCCTCCACAAGTGCTTGAGAACTGGAATCCCCCGATGTAAAGCCACGCACCCCAAGACCAAGTGTAAAAAGAAAAATAAAGAATAATAAAAACGCTGTATTTGCCAGTGGTATGGTTTGTCCTCGGGGGGTGGCGCGCGACTCGTTGCCGCGTCTGGCGTCGTTATCGATTGGTCGGCGAGAGAGGCGCACGCGAGGGTGGCTTGGAAAAAGGGGTGTGCAGCGAGAGGGGTTGAGGGTTGAGGAGAGAGCCTGTGAGAACGAGAGGGACAGAATAAGCCGGGGTATAGCGTGCAGCGCCGTACTATCTGGCGGTAACAGGTGTTGGTCTGGTGGCCCGAACTTGTAAAATCGATGGATGGCGCATCGCCGAGGCGACGCCGAAGGAGAGTGCTCTCCTCCGCGGATGCCTCTGCCACTGGGTTACCCGTTGGGCTTCCCGTACCCTTCTCCCCCTCTCCTCTCTCTCTCTCTCACTCTCTCTCTCTCTCACCGAGGACCCCTCGAATATTCTTCTCTCGTAACGGCCGAAGGAGACGGCAGGCAGTAGCGTCGCATCGAGAGGCCCAAGGCTGATGGCAAAAGGTATTCGCTCCGGTGGAAAATAAATCCCCCCTGTTTTCTGAATTCACGCCGTCACCGAGGGGTTGCTTATATCCCCCAATGGTTGGTTTTGGATGATTCAACGCAGGCGCGAATAACGTGGAACACGGGGGCGTCGTGAACGCGGCAGTTGCACCCCAGCCACACCCGGACGAGCCATGTAGTCGGTCTACCCTCCGCACTACGGCGGACAATTGTTGCTTCTGCGCCCACAGGTGGGTATACCCTGAATACTTGGACAACCATCGTGATTTTAATGTTTAAAACACCTGGATCAAAGACTGATGGCTCATTGAGCGAGTGAACTTGCTGGGGAGTTTGATTAATCGTGAATTAATCGGTGAAGCAACGTGCGGGGTTAACGGGAAATTGGCAAAGTGCGTTTTAACCCCCGGGCCGAACGGAGCAGCCGATGTGTGGATGTAGTGGTGGGGAATACTTATTGTACGTGGGTAGTGGTGATGTTTCGGTGTATGAATGCATTTGTATGTGCCTGCCGGTTGTGCACGGTATAATACGACTGGTGGGGTAGTTGGTGGTGGTGCTGGCGTCGGGGGGAGATGCTACGAGTGTAAGGGGTTGCCCAGCAGCGCTCGCAAGGGTGGGAGTGAGAGCCGAGTTAGGGGTGATATCAGTGCTTTCCCCCCCCCCCATTTTTACTCCTCTTTTAATGCATTCACACCCTCGGAGCCATTGCCGGAGGCTAATTCGTTCATTTCGAGAGGGAGAAATTGTGGGGGTGAATTGTTGGTGATGCACTAGAAGCTCAACTATTGTATTTTCTCGACAATGAGAAATTGGTATGAGACTGAATATTGTGAGAATTGCTGAAGGTACAGCGCGTTATCGACCAACGGTTGAAAGCCTGTGTGCAGCCCCCCTCGACCTGTTGTCCAACTTGTTGCTCGTCCTGTGTGATATCCGCCTTTGGGTACTCAAGCCATTTGGTATATATATTGACGCATTGACGTTTTGCGGACAGACATTTTGGTTACGTTTGGAGGAAAATTGTCGGTCATGCTGGCAGAATGCAGATTTATTGTACTACTGAATTCACGTTTTTGTCAATTTTTCGATTGCGGCCTCACGAGCTGAGAGAAATGCGAGAATCAATAAGATACTTTGGTGATCCTAGGTATATTATACATCAGGAGTTTTATCAATGTCATGATAATGTTATACCGTAGATTTTAGGGAACGAGTGACTGATTATTGCGAAACAAGAGGATTAACATTTTTTGATTATATTGATGTAAGTAGATTTATCGGTAATTATCTTCCACCCATGTGAATACAACGAAAGCAATACTTAAAACAAGGTACATTATATATTAGATTAGATGTAGGAACAAATGGTACGGTTGAGAGGGATTATAAACAATTAGTGAGGAATTTAATATCGAATTATTGTTCACTCTTCGTTGATAAGGTTAATGATAATTGGAGGGTTGGCCCTCCATTTTCGATAAAGTCCAATTTACGACCAGTGATTTTAATTGAATTAGCTCACACCCTAGCTCACTTTGTAATAAAAACAAAAGCAAAAATATTTAACAAAAGGTATTTTAATAATTGAAGTAATAAATACAAACACTCTCTGTAAAAGCGTGCAACGACGTAGAATTTAAAGTCTACAAGAAAAGTGATTAGACTAATGAGAATACTTACTTTGCCTCTGTTCATTATTGAGAATAATCGATGTGAAGAACCTCTCCAGCAGATTGGTGTTTACATTTTTATATAAAAAAACAAGTAAAGTAGAGATTAGTGTTAGGCTGTTCGTCGAGTAGATAAATTAAGCCGTAAACCGAGGTTACAAAAGTTATTGAAAATGCCGAGGTGTTACATGGTGAAGAAGGCCTTGTGCAACAAGTACATGAGCGTGACCAGAGGCTTTGAGTCATGGGGAAGAAGCAGGGATTCACCGTCTCCGGAGCCGAGTCAATCGACGATTGAGACATCAACGCCACCCCCAGTATCTCCTCCACCATCCGTCTCTCCTCCACCAGCTCAAGGTAAATATTTCCCCTCTCGAGGGGGCAATCTCCGGGCAAACAGAAGCAAAAGGCCATCGAATTCCTTGTTTCTTTCAGAAACTCCAGTGTCAACCATGAAAGTGATAAAGATGGAGTCAGAGATACATATAACTCATTGTATAACCCAAGTGCCATCCACCGAGGAATCGCCATCGTCAGAGTCACTGTCAGAGCCATCATCGGACCCATTAGCAGACCCATTGTCAGAGCCAACGTCAGACCCATTGTCAGAACCAACGACGGAGTCCTCGACGTCCCCTCAAGACTCGAGTCCGCCTGTTATTCAGATAATCTCGTCGTCACCACCACCGCTAGTTCTAATTCAACCAGAACCTGTTTATCAGAGCGTTGGGATGGACTCGATGAGGCCAATGAGTGTCATTCAGGAGACACCGCTTTTCAAGGACAGATCAGCGGCTGAGACAGAGGCGGCTCACGATCTCCTTGAATTGTCGAGGTCTCTGCCACCATTGCCACCGCCGAGTGTCGCAGTTGGTCCCCAGAATGTTCTCGAATCTCCACCGACTGAGAATGTCCAGGAGATAAGTTTCTACCAACCAACGGAGTCGCCGATTTATCAGGTTAATACCATTGATCTTGGGGGCACTACACTCTATCAACAACCGACGGGAATAATCTACGAACCGGCGACACTCATGCAGCAAGGACCAACTGGTGTCTTCATACCATTGTCACCAGTACAGGAGATACTGGTCGCCTATACTGCACCCACTATTCCATCCATTCTTGCCTCACAGTCGACAATAGGTGCACCACCACTGACACCACCTACTTCAGAATGCAGCAGTGATATTGAGAATAATAATCCTAATTCGCAGCCGAGCTCCAGGGATAAGGAGGTACAGACTATTGCGGATCAGGCGGAAGTCAAACCGGCTAGCTACACGTTCGATACGCTTCTGGTTTCCGATGGGAGGTCCAAGAATAAGAGGGCTGGTGGCAGTGGCTCTGAGGCGGAGAGCAGTGCTGAACAACCGGAGACGTCGAGGTCTGGAAGGTACATCTGCTGTGAGTGCGGTAAGTACAGCTTTTTTTATTCTTGGGGAAGCAATTGAGAAATGGGGGAGGGGAATGAGATTATTTAATTGTGAGATATGGGACGCTCTCATTATTCTGTGGGAAGAACGGGTTCAGAAAAATTCCTTCAGCTTCCTCGTTAAGAGGAAATGTAAGGAATTATTTATTAATTTCGAATAGTCGTCTCGGGGAAAATGCAGTGGGTCTAGTTGACGTTTTAATATTTTCCGAGACATTCACGTGTTTTTTTAATATGTACATAAGTGTGGGATACACCTGACAATTATGAATTCACTGCAAATTTAACATAAAATAGTGGTTGTTGGAAATTTTTTACTTTGAAAATTTCCTTCGGTAATTTTTCAACAGCTTAGGCATGCTAGAAATTAATAAACAGCCAATACGCCACAGACTACTGAAATTCAAGAGAATCTCCCAGCAGACTGAAGAAATTTTCTAAAAACTTACACGGAGAGAAATATTCAGTAAAAATTACGGGACAATTCACGTAATCCGCAATGGGGAATTGTTTTTCGGCAATTTGCATGGGACTGGAAGAGACCGAATGAAGTCCGAAATTGTCACGTAATTTTTCCCGAGGGAGCAAAATCTTACAGAAACATCCCGACTATTATGCCTCCAAAATAAAAAATTCTTGGCAATTCGTACAATTTCAGTGCCGACTCACACTTTTTATTGAACTTTACTTCGCTCACAGATTACGTTTGGAAACGTAATTTTTCCTCTTTTTCCTGGTAATTTTTATTGAATTTCTCTCTCGGTGTCCGCCGAAAAATCTTCATTCTTTTCACAATTGAATACCCCCAATACCGCCGGCACCCAAAGAACTGTCCTCTCCTTCCAGGCAAGCAATACGCAACATCTTCAAACTTATCGAGGCACAAACAGACCCACCGCAGTATCGACTCTCAATCCGCCAAAAAATGCATCCACTGTGGCAAGGCCTACGTGAGTATGCCAGCATTGGCGATGCACGTGCTCACCCACAAGTTGACCCACAGCTGTGGTGTCTGTGGCAAAATGTTTTCCCGTCCCTGGCTCCTTCAGGGACACTTGCGCAGCCACACAGGTGAAAAACCGTACGGCTGTGCCCACTGTGGCAAAGCCTTTGCCGATCGTTCGAATCTGCGTGCCCACATGCAGACACACTCGTCCGATAAAAATTACGAGTGCCCCAAGTGCCACAAATCATTTGCACTCAAGTCGTACCTCAACAAGCACCTCGAGTCGGCGTGCCAGCGGGAGAATGGAGATGACAGCAGTAATGACGTAGATACACCGGGATGTCAAGTTGATGTACAGAATATCGAGGTAACACGCTAGATTTATCCCTTCAAAATTGCCATCGTCATACTTGTCTCGCGTAAAAAATGGCACTCACCAATACCGAGGAATGTACACACCAGTTAATGAGAAATCCTCGGTGTAGCGCTGGGGCGAGGGGGAAAAGTAATAAGTGAATTTTGCCAAGAGATTTGACGGCGTTATGCGAATAAAACGCGGTGACCCCGATTGTCACGATGAAGTTGGTTTCATCCGGCGACGATATTGATTCATCCCGGTATGTGTGCCCTGTTGAGGCTTATCCCCCCGAGGGTCCCCCGCACTCTATTCCGCATACGATCTTTCTTCTTCCCAACAATTTTTTTTCCATTTTTTTTTCCACTTGCCATTTTTTTTGGGTTCAAGCCTCTCTTTCTCACATATTTTTTACTCTTTCACGTCCACTCTGTAGCCATCGTATGCACCGCTACGTGGCCCAACGGAGGAGAGCACTTGAGCCTATCACTGACACGTCAACGACACACGGCACTGACGATGGAGCCTCCGTACCAAGGGACGAAATGATAAAAAATTATTATGACAATGTGGAGGACCCAATGGGGACGATGTGGAGAATAAAATCATTCGGAGCACCGAGCACTCGTGCTGTATTCTAGTCACTCCACTGAGACGCCAATACGCTTATTTCTTGAGGAAATTTATGATATTTTGTCAAGAGATTGATTGACATTCCTTAGGTTCCTAGGTGACAGAAAACAAACATCGAAATATAAGAAATATTAAATGGTTTTCCCGTCCCCCGCCCCCCCTACCCGTCACTCTTAACTATTACTGTAAATCTGTCTTTATCCCATTTATCGAGCGGATTTTAATATTTCTATGAGCCATATCGCGTGATTCACCGTTTTTACATTTATTCTCAGGAAGGGGAAACGCAAAGTGTCGAATTGGTAACGACGATCGGGGAATTTATTCACTAGTTTTTTTCTTCACCGCTATTGTATTTTATTTTTAAAATGAAAAAAAGACGCAGGGAAATACCTCGCGTGGGATTCAGGGTAGTTTCATGACAATTTATGTCTTTGAATCGATCGTCGTGGGTACAGACTGGGGTTTTAAAAGGGGGATGAAGAGTACGGGAGGAAAAATGATTATTTTTTTAGTTAAAGTTAGTGCACGAATTACCTTATATACGTCCAGAGTAGGTAGAGTTTTGCGAGTATTCAATTATTTAATAATTGTTGATGTATTATTTTTCGTTTTTTATAGCGCGTGTGGGAGAAGTGAGGTGAGAATCCAGTGCATTCGCTAGAAAAGTGGGAATAATTGAATAGATTGTCATTCTCCGAGAAGTTTTCGCGAATTTTGCAGCGAAATGTAAAAAATTTCCATTAAACCGCAGAAAAACTAATGGAATTTCCAATAAAATCAATAGAATTCAGATGGAATGCGCTGGGTTTTTCATTGAATTTTTTCAGACGTGTACGTTTGTCTCGAAAGTCGTTTCTTCAGACTTGGAAGCCGCCCTCTAGTTTTTCAAAACTACGATTAATCGAAATATCATATGTTGGATACAGCAATGTTACTTAACATTCGTTATGCCATTCGATAATGGATTATCATCAACATTTAACAAGGGAATGTGGCCCACCTGTTGAATCCATAGTGACCATTGGCGAAAGGGCCACTGTGACCTGGCCTTTACTATTGTCTCTTTCTCTTGAATTATGAAACTACACTACGGTGTGTATATACAATACATCCACCTACGCGCTGGTAAATAGATTATGAGTCACGTTAGTCCCCATCATCGATCGACGCTTTATTTTTCCCAGGGGTTCTCCTTCAAGACTCTGTCAAAGGTGGCGGCATAGCGGTGGGGTAGAAAAGCCTGGGGAAACGACTATTCTGTGTTAATTTTTTGTTTTACGATTTTATTTGTCCATGTGCCATTAATCCTTTGTTATTTTTTTTCTGTATTCTATCGGACGATGGAAATAAACAAAAGTCTTGATGAGATTGTTTGATGATCAGTGATATGACGAGGCTTTGCTTTTTATACATCAATTTAATTCTAGTCGTAATTGCTTTATCGATAAGAGAGTTATTTTACTTACTAAGGCTTTAGGATTTTTCGGTCGATGATAATTCTCGGTTAGCGGGATTTTAATTAAATCTGTAGATTTTAATGATAAGGGGGAGTATGTAGGATTTTAGATGATGCAGGGTCGAGCGCCGAGAGGGAGAGGATTATACTTGAGTCGTGCATTATTCAACGTATATTTCGGGAGAGAATTTCAAATACAAATTTTCAGGATGAGATTATTGGATGAGAGGGTCGGGGATGGTGAAATTCAACGAATGCACGAGGGAGGGGATGATTCTATGGATTCTTTGAGTACTGTTAGAGGAAGTTTGAAGTTTCAGGGGCAGTTGAATAATTTTTAAGAAAGGGACATTAACTCTAGGTCACGGGGAAAATCGGGACATTTAAGACTTCACGGGAAAGTCAATGACATTCTCCAAATTATTTTAATTTTTAATGGAAACGTGACTCTTTGGTACCGAATTTAACAAATTTAGTTGAATAATTGACCCGAAATTGACAGTTACCATTGACTTTTTCATAAAATTCTGCATTTTTTACAAAGAAATTCATTGGAATTTCAGAAGAACTGTAATGTGATAACAATTTCCAAGAAGTGTACGGGAAATTTCAACCATAATTTTTAACAGCGAAGGGTGAGGATTCCAATTGAACCCCTGACATTGTGATTTTCAACTTCTCGATCTCGTGATGCCAGAAAAATTATTACGAAAATATCGAGTCAATGATGGTTATGAGGATTAAATAATCACAACGAGTATTTCCGTATTGCATTGAATCCATGGATCGCGGAAATTTAACCAGTTGCAGTTGCGGATCTCTAGTCACATCCACTAATCTAATCACCGTCTTATTAGAGTCAGTACTCGACAGTCAATCGAATATTCATATAAGAGAATATATGATGAAATCGTAACGGTAGTCAATAAATATTGTGTAGGATTTTTCTCGGATAAAATGGAAATCATTGGGAGGTGAATTTTGCCAGAAAATTAAATCACTGAGCCCCGAAAAAACAAATCTCAAGCGAATTCAGAAACTACTGAGCGACATTGCATGTGTTGAGTATGAGATAATTTATCGAGTGTCTGCGAAAGAAATGAGTAATTGTCCTGATGAATATTAAATGAACCTTTTTTATCCATTTATTCGTTACTAACGAGAGTGTGAAATTTGCAGAGACGTGAATTAATGGGCAGGCTACAGAACTGAATACTCGTAGTGGTCGGAATAATGTGTGTCATCTGGTGATACAATTATAAATACACAGGTGACACTATTAACATACCGAAAAGAAAAAAAAATGAAATTGTAATGTGAGCCTCATATACTGACTAGTATCTGTTTAATTCCATTAATTAGAATAAATTACTCCTGATAAAAGGGAGAGGAAAAAAAAATTGAAATACTCAAACACGATCATATCTGACCTTGGCTTGTTTTAGAGTGTGATAACACGAAATTTAAAATCAATATTCTAGGGGAGAATGAGGAAAATTCAAATTCACAAGACGTAGGGTCTAGAATTAGTGTGATACAAGGTACGACAAAGCAATAATTTAGTGATTGTATGATATTTGAATTAGTGATTTAGACAACTAAGTTATCGTACTTTCGGAACCTATATATTTACTCGATAAAATCAATATAGTTTTGTAGAATGCGCAAAAAAAATGAAAAATAAAAAAATTACAAAAACGAAAAAATGAAAAAAAAACACATTGAGGGTTTTTTCGATTTATGAGGATTTTTTGTCGGATCGAATGATTAAAAATTTAGAGAAAAAAGAATCTGTTGAGTGATGTAACGAGAACATATTGAATATTTACCGAATTCATAACGAATTTTCCATTTACGTTGATTGGATGATAAATTAATGTGATTGCACGTACCAGTTTAAAATGCAAACACGCTCGCAATGGTTCACATGAGTAATGAGAAATAAATGAAATTCAGTGAATGATAAATGCTGAGGATTCAATAATTAATAAACGTAGGTGCCAAATTTGTGTGTGCTGTTATCAAAACGATATTCAAAAAGTTTGAACAGTCGATTAATGATGTGCACCGCTGATTAATACCGATTCATATCCAGAGATAACAATAAAATGTTGGATTAACCAGTTTGTGAATGAGGAGGGTTACGAGGGGCCGAAGAAATATCTGCCGGTGCCTTTATTACAATAACTACATCGGAGAATATTCAATAAAGTGCAAAGAATGTTTTTTTCCCGTCGACTATCTCAGTGTAATTCTTGAAATAATAGCGATTGATACAAACGTAGGGACAGGAATGGTGAATAATTAGTGAAATAATGGGCCATCGGCGAGGCGGTGCCGAGTGACCTTCGCAGGTGAATGAAAACAATGGGAATGATAATAATATTACTATCAAAAAAACGCGCTCTGCGTTTTACACAGCTAGTCACAAATGAACGTTACTTGTCACTATTGAACGATAGAGTGAATAGTAGCAGATACTATTTCACTGAGATTTGGAGAACACTGTTAGAAGTGAAATTTCATGGACAGTTTTCAGGAGAGTGATGGTGACTTTGATTTAGGGGGAAAATGCCATAAAATTGCATATTTCGCTGAAAATTCAAGGAAATTCAACATTTTTGAGCAGCTGATGACGAGAATTCCTTCATTGACTTACATTTTCAAATAAAAGATTAATGTTCAGGGCCAGATAACACTGCATTTTCCTGATTTCTATTCATTTTCATGGAATAATCTTGAAATTTCGGTGCAAATATAATGTGATAAAAATCTCAAAGAAGTGTAGAATAGAATGAAGTGCCATTGAAGTGGATTTAAATGGGAAAAAGCCATGAAGTTTCATATTTCACTGAAAATTTAATGAAATTCAACATTTTTGAGCAACAGAAAAACGAGAATTCCTCAACTGACTTAAATTTTCAAATAAAATATCAATATTTAGCACCAGATTACACGGAATTTTCCTGATTTGTATTCTTTTTCATGGAATAATTGACCTGGTATTGACAGTTTCCATTGATTTTTTTCATAACAATTTGAATATTCAATGACGAAATTCCTTGAAATTCCAGTGGAACTCTCATGTGATAAAAATCTCCAAGAAGTGTACCAATTTCAGTCAAAAATTTTCAACAGTGAATGTAAACCAGTCACCATGAGGATTCAATGGAAAAAAAAATACCACGTATGTACTTACAGTATTTAAGGGTAAATGAAACAAGACCTTTTAATTGCACCAAAAAAAATTTGTAAACTTTATTAATTGAATTATACGTTGCAAAAGGACCGTTTCGTATTCGCTCGATTTCCCAAATAAAATATTTCAATAATACAAATGGTGCATTTTTTATTAGTATTCTTCATTGTTTTTGTGTAAATAAACCTTGCCAACTGTGTAAAACAAACTATCAATGAATGTATGTTATATTTTTGTTGTTAAACTATTATACAAAGTACAAGTGTGGTACACGAGATGAACTTGAATCTACAGGTGGACCAGAAACATATAATTACAATCTCTGTTGGGATTCATCCTTGGGTGGCTTTGTCGACGCTGGGGGAACTTTGTCCTCGGGGAGTGATTCTTTCTTCTCTTTACCATCTTTCGAAATGTTCCAGTCTTTGAGGCCCTCTGGTAGGGAGGTGTCCTCCTCGAAGGAGCCAGTACCCTCGACAAATTGCTCGTACGTGGATTTTTCGGGGAAGGGTCGGGGTCCCAGGAGTTCAATCATGTCGTCTCTGCTTAGAATTTCTTTGGCGAGTAATCTTTCGCCCACCTGCACATATATTATGAGAGGATTATCATCGCATAACGTAAAATAGATGCATATTTTTAGTGAGCTGAAATTTTATTATTCACTTTGAGAAAAATTCATGAAATAATTGAAGAATTAGAGTTTGAAGTAATTAAAACTGTTTTTATCATGAAATACTCATAAAGAATTCACCCTTTTGAAATCGTCAAAAAACCACATATTTCAATTTTCATTAGTCATCCATAATGATGATGGAAAAGTAAAAGATAATTAACCATCCCAAAATGATGATTTACCTTCAACACATCATCCTTATGCTTCAACAAAAGTTCCGTCGTGCGTTCATACGCCCTCTTAATGAGATCCCTCACTTCCTGATCAATCAACTGTGCTGTAAATTCCGAGTACGGTTTATCCAACACCATTTCACCAGGTTGAGGCTGTTCAAAACTGATCTGACCCACTTTCTCATTCATACCGTAACTCGTTATCTGTGAATACGCTATTTTCGTTATTTTCTGTAAATCATCCTGTGCACCTGTCGTTATTCTGTTGAAGAATATCTCCTCGGAGACACGGCCACCGAGTGTCATGCACATACGATCGAACAATTGCTCGGTGGAGTAGAGATACTGCTCGCGAGGCAAGTATTGTGCGTAACCGAGGCCCTTGCCACGAGGAATGATTGATACTTTGAGAATGGGATCTGCATGCTCCAGATACCATCCAGCAACAGCATGCCCAGCCTCGTGATAAGCCACTGTTTTCTTCTCCTCGGGCTGCAGAACATTCGTCTTCTTCTCCATTCCAGCCACAACTCTGTCAATAGCAGCCTCGAAATTCTTCATCTCAATGTTGTTCGAGAGATCTCGTGCAGCGATGAGAGCTGCCTCGTTACACACATTGGCAATGTCAGCTCCTGTGAAGCCAGGCGTTAATGATGCCATTTTTCGTGCCAGTGCTTCTTTGTCGAGTGTCGTTTTGAGGGGTTTCAAGTGAACTTTGAATATCGATGCACGACCCTTAATGTCAGGGGCTGGCACGAATATCTGGCGGTCGAAACGACCTGGACGCAACAGCGCTCCGTCCAAAATGTCAATTCTGTTGGTTGCTGCTAGCACTACCACATTCGTCGTTGTGTTAAAACCTTTGAGGAGAATGCCAGGTATTATTGCCATATCGATATAAAGACAAATGGGATATAAACGATTGAATATTTTTGCATTGTGACGTTGTAATGGAGATTTTGTAGAACTGACTATATTCACTGATTGATTTTTAATATTTTAAAGTGAATAAATATTTATGTTGCTTCCTCCAATTTTCGTGTTCTAGCGTTTTTTATTAATTGTAGTTAACGACTCGACTGAAAGGAAAGAAGGAATTCATTCTGTATTTATTCTTCTCCATTTTAAATTGTGAAGAAACCTTAAAAAATCAGAGTAAAAAATTACAAGTAATTGGAAAATTGCAATCTTTCAGATGTCAGAAATTTATTTCTATTCGAATAATTTCTATTATTTAGTTTCATAATTTGATGATTAAAGATTTCTAAATTTATTACATGGCTCTTGAGATCCTAGTCTTGGATATTCTTATTCGAGGATATTTATGAGAAAAATTTCTCTCCAATTAATATAAACTTTGGTTGATTAATTGTTATATAAACTTCCTCACCATCCATCTCAACTAAAAGCTGATTCAACGTATTCTCCTGCTCCGAGTGGCCGGAGAAATTCCTGCCCCCACGTTTTCTCCCAACTGCATCAATCTCATCGATAAATAATATACAAGGAGCGTGTTTACGAGCCATGGCGAACATATCACGAACCCTTGATGGACCAACACCGACAAACATCTCGAGGAACTCTGAGCCAGACACTGTGATGAATGGAACGTTCGCCTCACCGGCTGTTGCCTTTGCCAAGAGTGTTTTACCAGTACCAGGGGGACCTGAGTAATTGTTTATTCATCTCAATCATGGGGGAATAATTTATTGACCTGCGAAAACTGACCTGTGAGGATTGCCCCCTTGGGAATTTTGGCACCAAGGTCTATATACTGTTGGGGATTCTTCAGAAAGTTCACAAATTCCATTATTTCGATTTTAGCTTCCTCACAACCAGCCACGTCCCTGATAAAGTCAATGGCAATTTCATCATTCAATATTTTTTGATTAACTACGTGAAGTAGATCACTGAAAAATTTAGGTTGATTTTTACTTGAATCGGACACCAATCTGATTAGAATTTATCAACTTTGCTGTCGACTCCATGACTCCACCGAATAGTCCACCTCCTTTTCCTCCTTTACCACCCATGAACGAAGCAGATCTGCGCATCGCAGATATTAGGAGTGCTGAAAATTCACAGGTGAGTATAAAACAAAATCATAATATTCGAATGAAATTATTTAATTACGTATAAAATCAGTTAATAAAATTAAATAAGTTTTTAATTATGAACTGTGACTTACCAACTATGAGAAGTGTTGGAAGGTATGAAACAATTGTTCCTGCCTCAACCTCTGATTTATAAATAACTGGAAGATGATTTTGGGGCTCAATGTTCAATTCTAGTTGAGCATTCTCGAGATTTCTTTCGAATGTATCGGCACTGCCGATGTTGAACCACAATGACGTCTAAATAGAGAATAATTTATTCATTAAATTAACAACCTTTTGTATCATTTGAAATACTTTGAAATGTCAAATGTTAAAAAACTAAAACTATTCAAGTATAACGGAGAAACCCATTCAATGAATAAATTGGACAGTTCTTTATTTCTCTACAAATTATTATTTTTTATTAATGAAATACTGAAACTCACCGAACCATCGATGCTCTGGCCAGGTAACAATCGCACTCGTACCCATTTTTTATTAACAACCTCCAATTTTTCGACTACACCTTTATTTAAATAACTGTGAAGAAGAATAAAAATTAATTTGATGAATAAAACAGATTGAATTTACAAGAATGAAGCCATGCAGACTTTGCTGGTTCTGAATAGATGATATTCATGTTTTCACCTGTATACAAATTCCCTCCACGTAATTTCCTTGCTGCCAACATCGAAGAAGGTCATGGCTCCGATAACACCAACAGCTCCAATGATCCCACCAATAATCCATTTATCCCTGTCGTTTCCTTCGAAGGGCTTGCCACCACCGGGTCCACCACCACTTCCTTTACTACTGGAGCTGAATAAACCTGATAAGAATTGATCTACTGGTGTTTGACTAGGTCTCAATGGTGGGCGTTTTAGAGGGGGAGTGGTGGTCTTCTGCTCTCCCTGGGCTGACTTGGCCTCCTTGGAGGCCTGCTCCGCCGATTTCGGTGGCTCTTTGGCACCACCTGGTAAATATATAAGTCGTAAACGTGAAAATGAACTCCGCAGTGGAATTTAATGAGCTCAGTTGATGGGGTATATTTGCCTGGCTTGAAGAATTTCTCAAATCCCTTTGGAACTTTCTCTGATAATAACCTCCATTGTTGCTGCAGTGAACGCTCCAAAACTGATAATCTTGGATCATGTTTCAGTAGTGATAACGTTCGGTTTAACTAGAGTAAAATTAGAACACGAGGATATTATTGAACCACAGGAGATAATATTTTATATGGGTTTGTTTGCTCTTTCATGGGTTGAAATAAGAGCCACGAATGGGGGAAAGAATTACTGAAATCTTTTTGAAATTTTCTGATAACAATTTCTATTATTAAGATAATTTTACGTAATTTATAGAATAAAATTGAATCAAAAATGAACTTTTGTCACACGTTATGTCACGAATGTTTGACGTGAGTTTGTTTACTCAAAAAATTGAGATTCCAGAAGTTAATTAGGTATGAACATCATTTAAAGAGAGTTATGAGGTATTTTCAAGATTCAAATACATTTTGGAGGAAAGAATTTCTAAAGTCCTTTTGAAATTTCTTCTGATAACAATCTCCATTGTTGCTGCTTAGAACGTCTTAACACCTTCGAGAATCTCAAGTTCTGGTGACGTCGAGATAAACTTTAGTTCATATAAAATAAAATTGAACCGAAAATGAACTGTGTAACGTGAAAATTCTTTTGCATGATTTTGTTTTCTCAAAAAATGAAGAAATTATTGTTGAGATAATGCAATTCCATGCAGACAATATTCCTAGGGGATTATTGGATATTGAAGAAACTCAAACAGGGGAAAAAGAATTTCCGAAATATCTTTGGAATTTTCCAAAGACATGTTCCAATATAATGCACACAGTGTCACAATTTTGCTCAGGGTTTGTTTACTCCAAAAATTAACAGATTGTCATTGAGAGAATTGAATTACACGTGACACTACTCCAAGGGAATAATGGGAAGTCTGGGGAGTGCAAATGATTCAGAAAATGTGCTCGAATGGGGGGAGACATGTTAACCCCTTCTGTCACAGTGAAGCAAATCCCATAAACTTGTTATATCACAACACTCCAACGTTTTTAGGTTAGATAAATGCAAGGGCCTACCTCTGTACGATTAATACGACCATTCTGCATAGACTTTAGCACAAATCTCTCTAATTTGCATGCCGATGATAACAACTGATGAGCCATATTACGTCAATTAATATTTTATGTATCATGTAGAGTATGATGAAATTTATTATTCGAGGGTGATATCGTTGATTCACTTGCGGTAAGAACCGGCTGGGTTACGCCATTTTTCATCATTTGGGATCATTCCGATCATAACCAAACCTCAAGTCTACTTACTCCGAAAATTATTTATAGGATTAAAAAATTGAAAACATTATCGAAAGCCATTTTATTAAAAAATTTCGAACAGCATTTTTGCGTTATATATATTTTTTTTGATTCATTCATTCGAGTCTGTGATTTTTATTCATTTTGAGGAATTATTCAGTCGCTGTTTTGATTAGGGAGCTGCGCTCCCACTCACTGCGCGTGCGCTACGAAAATCCAATATGGCTGATGACGCCGGGACGCGGACGCGCGGGTAATGTTATTCTCGCCTTTTCTTCCCTTTATTCGTCCAATTTAACGAATTAATTAATGCAATCCGGCGCAAATGGGAGTAAATACTGTTGTCAATTACTGATAGTTAATATTTATCACGATAAAAGACTCTAAAGTCATGAATTATTGAGGGAAAATATGGATGTATGGATGTGAGACAAAGAACTAAAGACTTTCGAGGCGAAAAAATCGCCAAATTACCTATTCCTTGCAAGAATGGGCTTGAACCGAAGACAAAGAATATTTCTAGACTAGTGTCGGCATTTCGTAATGCGTTTTATAACATTTCAATGACGAAAAGTGTTGATTAGTGAGGACTGAGTGATTAGTGCGTGTGTGTTCAGTGAAATTGTGTGGAAAACATCATCCGCAGCCGCCGCCGAGGATTTTCCTGAGTAAAATGGCCGAGAAAAGTGCAATGCCGGTGAGTACATTGAGATTTCCTTATTTATTGCGCCTAATTGTTCATAAAAAATGTTCGAAACATCGGGGTTGAGTTTTTTCGTGAGGGATTTTAAAATTTCTTCGTCGATCTCCGGTAGAGAGCGTCGTGCGGCGCGGTGTGCTCAAAGCCAGCTGATCCGAAAATAGCCCTAAGCCCAAACACTCCGATAAACCCCAACAAATAGCATTTGTCCGGAGTACCGGAGTCAGTAACCATGAAAACAGGCAATTATCGTTAGTATTTTATCAGTGAAAAGCGAGTGTATGACCAGTGGTGTACGGAATGCAATCCAATAAATTTCTATGACTCGTAACAGCGATAGTAGGCTGGCGAATCCATCGTGGATAACCTATTTCTCTCGCTTCTCTTGTTTGGTTTTTCTCTCGTTCTTCATCGCGAGTGTTAAAGTGCCACTCTGCAACGCATCTGGACCAATGAAACGAGAAAGCAACACTTGAGTAACGAAAAGTGTTATGATGCTACAGAATGCACTATTTTGATGCTGTCGTACTGACGATCTTAGGATTGGTCAATAATCTGCATTGTGAGTATATTTATCGTTTTATTTTTCCTTGTAATCTTGATGAAGCTGTTTTTTTATTCAACGCAATGGAGCTGAAACTAGCGCAAGATTTGAGTTAGGCGAATCTCGGGGTGAATAAATGTTGGGAAAAATTTGCTCATGTGATTGTTTGGCATTTAAACCCTCAAAAATGCCCTGAAGTGAATTTTTCGCTGTCAGATATTCTGCTAGTTTCTGCTTCATTTCAATGCAATGTTGTTTATTTAAGAAGAGAAGTAAGTCCTCTGATAATCAATTCCTCCGCTTATTTCATTCGAAACCAAGAAACCAAATGCCATTTCAATCTTCTGTTCTAATTTTTTTTTGTGTGGATTTTTTCATTCGATTTTTAGAAATTGACTGGTCAATGATCTTTGGGGATATTTGTAATTTTATTTTCGTTCTCAATCTTAACGTTGTTATATTTTAATTCCATGCAACGTAATTTATTGAAGAAAAGCATTTATTCCCTTCGTACAATCAATCAAGACAAAGAATTGAATCCCAATCTTCTGTTATAATTCCTATTTTTCTCTCGGTTTTTCATTAGTTTCTAATTGATTTGTACAAACTTTTGCACTCTAGGAAACTCGATTTTTAGAAATGGATTAGTCAATAATCTGCATTAATTTTCCTTCCTAATCTTGAGTTTGCAATATTTTTATTCAATACAATGTAATTTCTGGAAGGAAAAAATTGAAAAATATTCGATAATAAATTTCTGCAGGTGTCGAAATACTTCCCAATGTCACAAATCTATGGCCCACTAGTGCCAGGGCTAAACTGGAAATATCTCCTCAATTTGTCACTGGTATAGAGCCAAAGCTCATACTCCGAGGGAACAATGAGTCCTTAAATATGACATGCACAGCTGTACATCAAAATCCCGAAAAAAGTGATACATCACTCGACTACGTTGTTGATTGGAAAGTGCCTTCCCACGTTAGGGGTAATCCGTGAGTTCTCGAAAATATTTCATTTTAATCGAATTGCCCTGGAACAACTGCATTAATAGAATTTGTTATTTTAGCTCTAGTAAAATAACTACAGGCCAGGATACAAATATAGCGTGGTTGTGGTTCGAACATCTGTCAGAATACGATGCTGGGGATTATATCTGCAATGCAGTTACTACGAGCAAAGCTGTTGTGCCACCATTTATGTCTAATGAAATTCGTCTATCTGTGAAGAGTAGTAAGAGTAGTAAGTACATAAACAAACAATTTATAAAAGAAAAAAACGAGAGACGCGGAATAGCAATTACGTCACATGCGGCCCAGAAATTGTGAATTTCATTGAAATTTCATTTAAAATCCAAATTTTATTTCAATTTTTATCACATTATAGTTCCACTGAAATTTCCGGGGATTTCATCATTTGAAATTCAAACTTTGATGGAAAAATCCGTGGAAACTTTAAATTTCAACTCAAGTATTCCATGAAAATTACTAGAAATCAGGAAAATTAAAATTTCCTCCAATTCCAATTTCCTAAAAAAGAAAATATTTTTAGAACCCACATTCTGTGGGAAACAATGGTTCAAATGTCACTCGTCAACAATCTGCATAATGCAGAGATACGTGTGCGATGGAAAAGCCGACTGCTTAGAGGGAGAGGACGAGAATCCAGAGGCCTGTGGTCCAGACCCATGCTTCGGTAAAGTTCACTGTGAGGGTCGTTGCATACCCCCCGAATGGTGCTGCGATCATCGTAACTGCAGTGGCACATACGGCCTGAGGCCATGGCCACCAGAAACCCACGAAATTAGTTACGTGCAAACAGCATTTTACACTGTCATTGGTATGTAACAACTGTCCCTAATTGAGCATGACTCGACTTATTTCGTTAAAAAATAGCCAATTCTTGGTTTGTTGTAGGCTGTGCAATGGCATTTATGTTCATTGTTACGATACTGGTGATAGCCATATGTAGGGTACAAATAAAACGGGCTATGAACTCGAGATGGACACAGCAGAATCGTACTAATTGCACTACACGACGTGCAGTGCCAGTAGGAATACCTATGTACGATTTAGACGTCTATTTGAATCGCACTGCTGATAATTATCCCAGGGGAGTGAGCATAATGTACAATATTAACAGTGGCGTGCAGTTTGTGGGAAGGCCTGTGGAGCCACCCCCATACTCCGAGGTAATAGCATCGCCTCCTCGTGAAGGTCCACCGCCCCCTTACGTATCCTGCGAGAATCTCATCGAGCAAACAACGACAATTGGTGCCTGTGAAAGTACAACCAGTCAATCAGAACAAATTGAAACATCCACTTGTGATGCAACACCACTCAACAACGATCTCAGGGAAGAATCGTCTGGGTTCTCCGGGGTGGTCATAACATCTAGAAGCATACCTGGCCCCCAAGTACCCACTGTATCTCACATATCAACTAATAATTCGAGTGCAGTCAATTCTGCCAGTCGACCTAGACTCGCACTTCCTCAATCTTTCGATCTTGAGTACGTGGAGACTGATGCGTTGTTGTCGGAAAATTCGAATATTACCATTGCGAGTCCCAAGGAGACTCTTTGGAAGTCCTATGGGCGGCCTGGTGGAGCTAAAGCCAGGTGGCAGGAGGAGAGCCCCGATAAACGATGGTTTCGTCGTAAATCAGGAAAGAGTGCTGAGAGCTCCCCCTTGAAGAGCAAGGATCTGTCACTCGCTGATGCTGAGAATGAAGGGGTGTTCTTGGATACTGATCAGCAGGAGGGACGGCAGGACTTGTGTCAGGAGCCCGGCCCGAGCACGTCAGCTCTTAATAATGAGCAAATATCCATTTCAGGGGGGAATGTCGTGGCTGTTGATGATGATGATGAGAGGGTCAATGAGTTTAGTGGTGATGGGGTCGGTTCATCTGGAATGGATAACAGTGCTTTGGGATTAATGACAACACTAGCTTTTTCTGTTCAACCTAGTCAACCACAGAATACATTAACTGATACACATGCGCAAATAAATGAGTCTTCCACTAGTATGTCTACCACATTAGTATCGTCTAGTGATCAGCGGACTGAAACCAATGGCCAAATGTCGGCTAGTGAACCCCTAGTTCTACCATTACGAGAATCGTTCATTGGAGTTCAGAAGAACAGTTAATCAATTGATATTAATCGACTTCCTGTTATTTTCAATCATGCTTCCAGTTTTATTTGACAGATCAGTATATACACTGAGAGAAAGTAAAATTTTTGGGGGTGTTGTCTCAATTGTCAATGCCATTTAGAGGAGCAGCGTTTCTCGATTCTGAAATTATCAAGATTACACTCGACACGAGTATTTCTGGGTGGGATGACGGATTAGTTAGGCTGATACTGGAGATGTGTGTGATAATTTGAGGGAGAATCAATTGGAGAAAAATCTATTCTTGACAAATATTTGGCATTTTTATGTTATGCCATAATTACTTCATTTTTTATTGGTTTCTACCAAATAATTTGATTATTTCACCAATCTCATAGTTTATCGAGACAAAATTTTTGACATTTTGAGGAGTAACTAATACACTTCATTTTTTATAATGTGTGTCGATAACAAAAAATAATATTTCCAGTTGATTAATATGTACGCAATTATCTAGATTTCCGTTCTTGGGAAAAGCGAATGATGTTTTGTTGAAATTTTTTATTTCTCTCAGTGTACCTTCGCATCGTCGTTAATGTACATATAATAGAGAATATTTGTATGAAAATTATTACAGATTAGTGCATTTTGGGTACTATTGTATTCTAAATGTTTATTTTTATTGTTAAATGTTTCGATGGATAGTCGTTGCTTGCCAATAATACGAAATCATGGTATTTTCGTACTTAACGGTATCTGGAGCACTGCACGTTTTTATTTTATTCTTGAGACTTTTTGGAATTTATGGAGTGAATGGGATTGTCGATGGGACCAACATTGTTTCTCTTTTTTTTTCAAATTTATTATCATTGAATTTATGTGCGTCATCGGTATCATGAGAGAGTGATGTTTTGAACCCACCGATACGAATGCTATCTCCAGAATTGTCTGTCAACTTGATGATGGAATTTCAATGGTGTTCTTAGATGTAATAAATATTATCCCTTTGAGGTAATGAGGAAATTTTAATCCTATTAGTATCATCAACGTGGTTGAAGATAAAAAATGTACACTTGTTTTTACGTGCTTCCAAAGATTACCTAACAGACGAATCATAGCCTATGTCTCTTCGAATAATAGTGAATTGCTTGGTTGATCGTTGAGTGGTGATAAATGATCTTGAACCTCGTGTGAACTATATGATAGACAATAACGTTGACCACCTCTCTCTGTTTTCAGTTTCAACAATTTAATATTTTATAGTTTCAGTTACAATCTCAGAGTTGATGAGTAGTACATTTGCATATCAAATTGTATACACGTGTTACGATTGAAGATTCAATCTTCTTTTTTCTTCATTTTGAATTGTGCTTTGATGAAATGTTTAACGAGTTGCAATGGATAGTTTAACAAAATGCTACAATCATATATTTTTAATACGCCTGCACCCAGAATCAATCGAATTGATAATGCACCAAGGGTAAAAAAATGGATGAATATATATATTTTTAAATTTCCGCAGAATTGCAGATAGTGCAGTTTTATTGCAGATGGCCTAACATTCCGATTAGGCTTATCTTTACTGTTTACTTAAAAGCACACTCGATTATACACGAGTTATCGATTGTTTCAGTTGGTTGAAATATACAATGTATTTTAATTATGTCGATTGTAAATTGAGAATTATGGAGAAATACATGAACTATGAGAATATTGAATCAGACTTTTATTCTTGAGGTTTTTTGAAGTATCCAAGGTCGGTCTTCATCAGACGTGCTTATAGGGACTAATTATTTATCTGCTGGAAATCTGAATAACAGAGCAAAAGAAGGTTTTATGTAGTCTTGGCAGTATTTTGATAATTTCAGGAATTGAAATGTTAGTAGTTATTGAAGAATATTTGTAACATTCAGGGATTTATTATAAGTTATGGAAATATTAGGTAGAAGCTCTCTGATTGCACTTACATTCTTCAGTTTCCCGGATTATTTTTTAACTGTTGAAGTCGGTTTTTTATGGATTCTCTATTCTTATATTTGGAAGAGCGCTTTCTTCGGGACAGTTTGACTTTTCATAACATTCACCTCTTTAAATTTGTTCATATGATCTTTTGTAATTCAAAACGTCAACTGAACTCATTAATTAATTTATTTATACCTAAAATTTTGTTGATAATTACGTTATTTTTCGGTTTTTCACGAGCAAAGGAGTATTTTTGGACTATTTGATGACTTCATCTGTTTTTACTTCATTTTTACATCGCCAGAAGCGTTTTATACTATCTTCGCAGTATTTTGATGAACTCAGGAGATGGAATGTTAGCAATTTTTGACGACTTTTTATAGAACCACAGGATTTATCAGGAATTATAAAGACAGTCATGCAAAGCATCAAACTCACAACATAGGGGTCATTTGCTGAGGTCAATTGTATAATCTGATTAAAATGTAATCACTCATCACTTAATTATTACGTTTAGAAAAGCATTTTGATCAGCTGAGGATTTGGACTGTTAGTGATCATTCGGGTCTTGTTAAAACATTCAAGGATTCATCAGAAATCATAATAATTGTGTTCAGAAGCTCTTTAATCAAAATCATAACACGGTTGAAAGTGTTCCCCAGGGGCAGTTTTCAACCCCCTTTAGAGTTTTTCGAACTAATTTAGGATTGTTGAAGTCTTTTGTACGGTATCTCACCTTTCGTCACTTCATTTCCGCGTTTGTAACCACTACACTTGTAGTACCATAGGAGAGCCGCCGAGGCTACCAGAAGAAGGACAAAAAGCAAAGTCTGGACTGCTACAGCTACTGACCACGAGGTATTTCTTAGTGCTCTTGGGGGTGGACGCACATCCCTCTCGAATTTTCTCGCGTAGAGACCCAGTGTCTGCACGTTCTTAGCGCGTTCATTGAGAACAGCCTCGATGTGCACCTCATCACCCTCGATTTTCTCACTGTACGTCCAGTCGAGTGGCATGAGCGATGAGTTAACCGAGTTTGGGAATATCAGAAGATTCTCTAGATTGACGAAAGTTGCGGTGATTTTCACCGAGGTGAATGTAGTTTCCGAGTTCATTCGCAGTCCACAACTGTTGATGGAGTCGTTACCGCAGAGAACCACCCCACAGGCTTGATATCCGATGGTGGTGTGATGCACAAATGTCCTGATGCCATCCACCACCGTCAGTCTGTATCTCGTGCTCGAATCGACTCTCGATGTTTCAACTGTGAAGTCACAGCAAAAGTCTCTTTGGCAGAGTTTCTCCTGCCTGATTATCGAGTTGATGGGACGTGTTTCATACGTCGGAAGGCCAGGGTCTTGCCAGAGGTTGAAATCGCTTGGTGAATTGGAATCACGTTCCACTCCCAATTCCGTTTGCTCAGACCGTTTTCTTCTCAATTCGTCGTGTCTTGGTTCAGTGGTTTTCACTGGGAATTCCCTGCGCAGTGACGCTCGGATGCTTTCTGTCAGGAGTTTCCGAGACTTCTTCGGCACGTCCGCGATGAGGAGCTCATCACCCCTCGCGCCTATTGTCGCTTTTGCAATTCCCTTCTTTCCTGGGAATGATAAAACGAGTTCATTGGGGGATTCGATCGGGGGGTTAGGGCGAATGGAGGGTTGTACCTAGGTATATTCCACTTCCAAAACTTGCCAAGTGGGGTCTGTTGTATCCTGACGCGAGGAAATTGACGTCCTCGGAGTACGCCCATTCGGACTGCGCTTGGATCGCTGCAATGAAGTATCATTTTGAGTTCTGAATTTTTGAATCAATCGAGAGTATTTTTAATTGAGTAGTTCTTAACGAATTACGTTAGCCTCATTAAGTCACGGATTCGTGAGACGATTTTGGTGACATTAATTTTTTATGATTTATTGAAGTTCCGAGTTTATTGGCAATGTCAAATGAATTCAAATATGGCAGAACAATGCTGTATAGAAGAGCATTTCACTGGAGAAAAAATAACTAAAGTACTGGGATAAATGACTCAGATTTGGGGACGCAATGCACTAAAAAGCGGGAAAGTTGCGTCTCAATTTCGGGCACTAGTTTTTCTAGTGTATAGATCGTTAGCGTGGACTTGAGGATTGACATTGTCTGAATGCCCATATGCAATGCAAATTGGAACTCCCTGAATTCAATCGATATAGCTCACTCTGGGTGCATGGAAATGTCGAAGCCACATTGGAAATGCGCGTGTCGGGGTAACTTTCGTGGATGCCCTACCAAATTCTAACGAAAACCAAATGGGAAACTCAATTTACGAAGTCCGACAACCCAGCAGCTGAGGTATATGCGAGGTTTGCCATGGGTTCCAGGCAAACTGCTAAGTTGACTACTTTTTCGACGAATTAATTAGAGTTTAGAGTGACAATTTTATTTACCTGTTAGAAAAGGCAGCTCGGAGAACCACGCGGTCGAATAGACGATGTCCGTTACGTGGTGAATTCTCGTGAGGTTCAGGGCAGGCTCTTTGAACAGCATGTCGAAGCAGATGAATGTTCCGAATGTAACGTTGAAGTCTGTATCAAATGTTACTACTTCCGGGCTTTGGAGAATGTCGAATTGGGACTCGTCGAACAGATGGGTTTTCCGATATCTGGAAGGAGATAATTTCTCGAAACCTTTCAGGCAAATTATGATGAATTTCGTCATTGATCATTTACGACTTTATGAAAAATCGATAGAAAATGGAAATTCAGTTTAATTATCCCACGAAATTTCAAATTTTTCTAACAGTATCAAAACAATAAATTCAATGCCTATTATTTTATTTCGCGATTTATGATGCATCTTATTACGGAAAGTATTGGCTATAATTTTTGTGGATAGACAGAGAAAAATCTTGTACTTTGCTATTATTTTTCCATCACGATCGAAAACAGCTTGGCAGTTGAAGAGAAATTTTCCATCTTCAGGGCATCGTTCACCATCACAGGGCAATTTCTCAGCAATATTGATGACAACGTACATCTTACCCTCCCTCGCTGCACACGATATTCTCTTCAGTGCCTATCAATCACAAATTCAAACAGCCAATAAACCCTAGAGCATGCTGCGGATGTTGTTGATGAATAATCTTTTGTAATTGATGAATCGTTATTTTCTCACTTTGTGAACAGCTGTGTCATTCCGCATGCAGGGATTGTAATCAACTGGGATGAGTGTTGACCAAGGCTCCATTGCTTCTCGCCCCGGTAAGTCCAGAGTAGTCAGACCATCCTCGGGGAATACTATTATATCGACTTCCTGCGAGGAATCAGAATTCAATTTTAGATGGTGAATGCATAGTGCTCCTAACTGTCGGGTATGGTCCTTTGTTTACTGAGCCAAGTTGCAGCCCTCGCACTACCAATCTCCTACCATCCCCCCGTTATGTCGTAACTGAAAGGCGATATAGACGTCGCTCGATTTCTCAAACCACTTCATGTTAGGTAAGCGCAAGCACTTTCATGTAGACCCTTCTCAACTTCTCTTCCCTTTGAGGATTCGACATGATATTATTCCTCTTGCAAGCATCGGCGATTTTTTTTTATTACTGTTTCGGGGACTTTGATGCATGCAAATGGTCGGAATATTATTTTGAAATAATAATGTTTTGACATGCCATCATATTTGAAACAGAAAATTTTAGTGAAAAACCTAGTATGCTCGCCAAAGGATTCTATTGGCTTTTGTCTATTTCTAATGAACATTATACAAAGTTGTCTCATCATTTTCTATCGATATTTGTCAGAGGAAAGTTTTTCTATAAAGAATTCCCAGGCCTCAATTTTTCTAGTTCGTTTTTCAATTTTTTGAAACGAAAACCATTCTTCCAAAACTTCTATAGGAAAAATCGATAATTAATGTCTGTTGATTTACTTCCATGAATCATGCGAAAAAGCTAGATTTTCTATTGAATTTTTCCTTACCTAAACTTATAAAATAACAGAGCAATATTTCTGATTCCCGTCAAAATATTCCGAAGCCAATTTCCCTCACTTCAAGAAGAGAAAAATTCTTCCCGTTCATAACCAGAGAAATTAAAAAAGTATCAATGAAACCGCTGTCGCAATTAAGTTCTTTCCATTTCCTAATCCGATAAAAGCCCCAACCAACGAACCGTGAATGTCTCCCTTATTTTTAAATCGCTTTCCCGTGTCCTTTTATTGCAACTTGTGTTTCTCTTCATCATTACCACCCGTGAGAACTCCACGGGACAGTTAATGAAATTATCCAGCATATTGCAGACACTCCCCTGCCGGGATGTCTGGTCGAGTGTCCTAATGACATTAACTGTGAAGCAGACGCGTCTCAAAGATCACATCGCGTTCTCAGAGAGGAAGAGCTTCCTTGAGTTGGATACAACGTCAATGAAAGTATTTTTAGATGTATCAATTTTTCATCATTCTTATTTAATTTGGAGAAAATTGGTTCGGTTATTTCTGTATTACTTTCCACCGGTTTGGACGAACCTTGAGGTCGTATTGTTATTATTCAAGCCGGCCTCGATGATAAAACAGAGTGGCTATCAACGGGGCTTCCGTTCGGGGGAAAAATGAATAGTAAAATTTGTTCATTTGCTCAGTTGTACGACATTTATCAATACTCAAAGGCAATTCTCCACTTGTTTCAGAATACAGCTGGGTGTCAGTTTGGACTGTGGCATTGGCTGAGGGGTGAGTGGTTCAAACGAATTATACTATTCTTGAAGGAAAAAGTGAATTAATTGAGGTAGAAAATTGAAAATAGAATATTTAGGGATGTGTTTGAAGCGGTGAAGTCATTACGACGAAAAATAACATACGGAGAATAAACTTCAGGAAAAATTACGGTACAAAACGTAAAAACGATGCAAATTCACTTTCCGGATTTTTTACGTAGAGAATCGGAGAAAATCTGGAGGAAAAATAAATTTTCTCTCTCGAATTCCGGGAGTTTTATAGATGGGAAGGTATTACGTCACAATTACGTCGAACAACATAGTTTTTACGTGATTTCTACTTTTTGGAAGTTTTTATCAAGTGGTCAACATTTTGACTGAAATTTGAAGGGATTTCCTCATTGAAAATTCAGATAAATATGTCCGTGAGGTTTCAATTAATTGGAATTTCAACCTAATTTGGCACAGAATATTCCAGTTCTGATGGCAAAATCAAGAAAGTTTGTAAATTCGCGTCTCTCTGTCGCTAAAAACTTGAAATTCCATTTAATTTGAGTGAAATTTGAACTTTCATTTTTTCCATGATTTTTCTCGAATTGTAATTAAATTTTCAATTATTCTCATCCTCGTATGAGAAAAAAGTTCAATATTCTCCAGTCATTGCATAATAACTAATTTTCCAACGTCAATACACGGAACAAAATTCATGGGAACCGGTTTTTGTTATTCATTTAAATCCCCTCAGAATATTAAGAGCATTCTTCGAACAGTACATGTTTCAATTAACGAAATGAATGCCTATCAGCGATGTCGAAACCTGCGAGATACATTTTCCCCACAACATTCTATACTCAATCATTAATCAATGGAAAATATAGAAGTACATAAAATTCGGATGATGGTTCAATCGAAAGCCAAATTGGAGCGCGTGTCGATTTCCAGGAATTCGTAAAAACAAAATTCGAAATGTGTAGTTGTTACCGAAGCGGCAGCCCGTTGGATGAAGCTCACATATCTTCTACTATTTGCATCAATTGGCGAACTATTGGTATTTGAAACTTGCGGGTTAAATTCAACAACAGCTGCTCTGTACGTATCCGCCTCGGGTGTGGACCACTGAAAAATATTATCCAATTATTACAGGCCGACTCGATTCTCCCTTTGCTCCGGGGATATTCCCAGAAATTCAGTTTTTAATCACCTGATGAGATAATTGGATAACTGCCAGAAGGCAAATACAGGGCAATTCCATCCTAATACCTGCGGAAAGAAAGAGCAAAGGGAATTTACTGTGTGTAAGCATCATCAGCCTATCTACACAATGATTATAATGTTTGCCGCCTCTGTGTACATGGAATAGTTGCATGCATGGTGTGTTCGCCCATACGTAGCTTTGTTCGGTGGACTATTGCGATGGGTTCACACTTGGGCAAGTAGAAGTGACTCAACTCACAATGTTATTGTACTTTATAGTACACATCGGAGAAAAAAAAAGTTATTTCTAGGGACGTGTCATTCGTTTTTAAATATTTTGTCAACAATTTTCAGGGACATCATCCCCAGTTTTCTGAGTAATGTCACTGACATTATTCTATAAAAATCATTGATAATCGGGGCATTTGATAAAATTATTTAGCTGAAATTTTCGGTGCGCTTTTTGAAAATTTTCCTCCAATATAGAATGAAAAAGAATTTTAACAATTAATTAATTGAAATTCAGAAAAGATTTTTTAATTTCATTTGATAACCGTTTGGTAAATTTTTGATCAATCGCCAATTTGTATGAGAAATTGATCCATCGAAAAAATTTCTCCCATTCGATAAATTCAATCAAGTTTGTCTGCCAGAGTAGATGGCGAAAGCATGTATGCGTTTGAAAACAATCCCGCAATAATCTACAATCAGTTGTTAAATTTCCACAACTAGTTGTTGAAATTCATCAGTTTTCTTCGTGCATGCAACCGATAGGAGTGAGAGTATAAGTACAGTTACCTCCTCAATCTTTTACTTCAATTCATTCGATTTTTTAACTTAAATACTGCAGACCCTGTTCACCACAATTCTATCGTAAAATGTTATTCTTGTTCCACGCGGGGGGAAACGATGACGCGCGCGATAGAAAGAGATAATGTTATATCTTATCGCAGATCGAATACCCCTTGTGCATCAGAATTTAATCAAGTGGGCGAAACTTTCCCCCCAATTACTCCGATACGAATGTTTTAATTAACCTCGTCGTACCTCGTTTTCGCGTTTTCATTGTCTGCACAGAGTACCGGCGAGTAATTTCTTGTTATCTCTACATTATTCAGTTTCTGGAGTACAATTCTCACTTCGTATTGTGCCATCTCGCGCTGCACAAAACAAATTGATTTATCTGACGGCAGCAGTTCCCACCGGGTCGTGCTTTGTCATTCGCGTGCTAGCAGTTTTTTTTATTTTTTTAGGAATGGTCAGATATCTTCATTATTATGTAAGAATGTAATGATTAGGAATTAATGGAGGCCATGGGAGAAAATAATGGGTTTCATTGCCAGGAGAATATGCTTACAATCAATGAAACTGTTCATCTAGCTCTTCCCCCAACAAATTCTGTGAAATTCTATTTATGTCCAACACATCTATAACAAAATCGCACTGCAAAGATGCATAATTTTCAATAAAAATCGGTTTTTTATTTGAATTTTAATAAAATCCTGGAAGAGTACCAACAGAGGTTCGATATAATTTCTCAGGAAAAACGCTGGGGTTTTCCAGTCAATGTTTTCATACGTGCGCAATGCCTCTCCTACTTTCACACAATTCAATTCAGTCGCACTATCAGTTCACTGGTTGTAAACGAGGTTAAGATATGTCAGAAGGCTCTTCACCTCCGAAATCACTCGAATAGCTAACGTTAATCGCAATGTTATTTCCAACTCTCCGGAGATCACGGCAATTCGCTCAAGTCCACTGTCCAACTACTGTCACAACATTTGTGTTCAAGTTCTGGTTTATTTGATCGGTGAATGTAGATGCAAGATGAACCGTCTTACTGCACATATAAAATCACGTGTTACGCTGAGCGATGCATGCATCGCGCCGCTTGACCTTGACGGCGCGGGGATTCCCGTGATTCACCTCCTCCAGTTTACTAATGAATTGCCACACATTTAGTAGAGATGTTCGGTAGTATTTGCAGTTCTACTACGTCCACAACTTTCCTCGAGTAGATCTTGGTAAATAAATGAGGACAAGTTGTGTTTTATCGAGTGGAAAAGTACAGACGAAAAGAGGAAAAATGGGTAAATCGAGATGAAAATATTTTCCAGGCAATTTATTACGTATAAAGGAGTTAATCTACTATACCAATTCAATATTTATTTTTCATGCACGAGAAATGACGGAGATGAAATTATTTGGAGAGAAAATTATTGCTATTAGTGCAGTGAATGGGTTGATTCGGTAATGCAAATTCTAATTTTTGCTCATTCGTCCAAAAATTTTCGTAATCTCTCAATTTCATAGTTTTTTAAAAATCAGCACAGGAATATGAAGGATTCGAATAAAACAAAACTCTTCATTTGAATTTACAATATTTTTGTTGATAAACATTCCACATTGCCTCAAATTTCCCTATTTATTTCCATAAAATGTTTAAATTTCACGAAATGAATAATTCATTTAAATGATTGATAAACCAAAATATTAAGATTTTATGACGATGACAAGCATTCCACATTACCTCAAATTTCTCTATTTATTTCCACAAAATGTTTAAATTTCATAAAATGAATAATTCGTTTAAATAATTCATCAAAACTGGAATAAAAATCAAGCTGGGGTTTGATTAAAAGTTTCATTACGAGTTGTTTTTCAACAAATCCGTTTATTTCATTCAAACAAAGTTTATTTATTTCAAATGCACCATTTCTGGGTGAATCCTCGAGACTGATTTATCTTGTTTCCGTGCATTCCGCCGAATGTAACAGAACCAATGAAAAATTTTCCGGATTAAAAACATTTGTTCAACGTGAAAATAATTCCTTCAGTTTACTGCTCTGTTGACTTATCACAACGAAGTTAAACACATGTGGAAGACTATTCAACTTCGAAAAGCATCGCCAACTTTCGAGAATCCGCTCGAACCGAATTGAAATCGTCAGCCGAATGGATAAACTTGATACGACGAAGAGTAATGCAATAAGACACTACCCCTCACCCTGCGGCATTCTGCTGTGTAAACCCGGACGATGTTTCCTCCATTGTTGGCGCAAGCAACCGCTCAAAGTTCCTCCACACACACTTGAGTTCGTTGACATGTCACAACATTCACCGCACCCCGAGAGAATCAAGAGCTGGCAACTCAACTCAGGAATCTTCAAACATATTTATGCTTCTTGCAGGCACTCTTAGATAGGGGGTAATAAAAGTGTCGCAGGATATTTGGAGGAGGTATATCTGGAGTGATAATAGTGGGGAGCTCTGCCAAGTTTGTGAAGGGGTGTGTTGAGCAGCCAAATCCCTCATCCTCGGAGTTTCATGATATCATAAAAACAATATATTCAGGAATGAGGTGAACGGCGGGAGTATTTCAGTGCGCTATCGCTGAACCCTTTATCCGCTTTCTCGCTCTGATAAACCCTGCGATACCTGATGGTATTTTCCGCACTCGGAAATGATAATTTCAATGTCAGCTTTGGTTCTGATAATTCGAGGATTTTCCGCGCCGTGAAAAATGTAAAAAACGAGGTTTACGGTGGGAAAACTTTGGACGTGGAGAAAAAGTCGAGGATTACGGGGGAATTTCTTAGTTTATGTCAAGAAAAAATGAAAAAGGAGTCGTGGAATTTTTACGCTCACACAGCAAAAATGAATGTCTGAATTTCACACACATTTTGTAGACATTTTTCGGACACTAAAAAACGTCTTAATTCAACTAAAATTTACACTTTTCATAGTTTTCCATAAAACCTTGAATTTTTAATGACAAAATTCCTTGAAATTTCAGTGAAACCATAATGCAATAAAAAAATTTGTTTTGTTTTACGAACCGTAAAATTTTCTGTGATTGTCTGGTTATTTTTTTTTCTCAATTTTCATCTCCGTGTAATCCTATGCGCCTTTCGTGCTGTCCAGTAACCACTGAATAAAAAGAGCTATTGATTGATATTGTCGTGACACCGAAACGAAGTTAGGGATCACGCGAGACCACCGAGTATACCCTAATGGAAGTGCATTTGAATTGATTCAACACTCAGTACCATTTACCGAACAGATAACTTTGAAATCAGGCCATATAGTACGTCTGATACCTTGATAATATCCTCAAATTTCGTGGGTGCACTTTGCAAACGTGTAATGGGTAGATATAACGTATTCCGAGTGGAGGAAAGCCATTTATATTGGGGAATACTGGTGAATCGTTGGGAAGACTCGGTGGGGAGATATCCTCTGTGATTTTCGTCGATATCACTTCAATTAGGGATTGTCAGTTATTATTAATTGGCGGATTCAGGAGCGAAGCAGCAGAACAAGGGGTAATAGCTGATATTGAATGGTCAGGGATATCCAACATGCAACTGAGCTATGACGACAATTTTGGTGTCTGTCATTTTTGATCCGGTGGGTAATAAATGTCGAGGTGTGCATTATCAGATTCATGTGCTTGTAATGGAGGAGGATTAATTGTCAATGGATTTTTTTATCTGTTGTACAGAACATTTTTCCTTTTCTCGGGAAAAAATTTACTGCACGGAGAGAAATGTTCAGTAAAAATTACGGAACTTACAATTCGTTCACCGATTACGGAATCGATGTAATTATGTACGTAATTTTTATGGAATATTTCTTTCCGTGTGTTAGAAAATTAATCTTGAAATTTCAAGTAAAAAATGGGTGAAATTTTCGGCAATTCTCCGCTGTTTTTATCAAAATATAAATATGCGATACCAAATTACTCTAAATTTTCTATTAATGACGCTTTCAGAAAATCCATGGGATTATAACAGAAACGTCACTTGTTAAAAAATTTAAGAGTTACAAAATCAATTAAAAGAATGGACGAGTGAGAAAATCAATTAATCACTCGTCCATTCCTAATTCTCAATCTCAGTTCCCTCTGAAATACAATAAACATGACTCCTACGCACCCATGCAAATTGAAATACATCAACCATCGACCGAGTTTGATACACCAGAGTAAATTAGGATCCGTCACAGCTTTGCCACTGGGCCTCCAACTTCCCAATTAACGGTCACTTCCAAAGTAGAGGATGCACACGCGCGTCGTTGATTTCTCTCCCGGTGAATTCCGAGGTGCTCAACTCCAGCACACGTTGCACACCCCTCCGCCGCCGAAAAACATACGTATCTATAGGTGAACTGTGCTGCAAGCCCTCTGCGCTCGAAACAGGTCGATACGGTTCAGAGTGTTTGGGTTATACAGATATAGTGGAAAACCGGCGTGGCCTGTCAGCCAGCAGACTTATCGTAAATTTGCTAATCGTGAGAGTAGTCAGTGCAAATACTTCTGCCTGAAATAAACTCAATGCGAATCAGTTTCAAATTGCTTTCAAAGCGAGACACTTTACGAGACAAAACTTTGGAGAGATGATCTCGTTTTCAATGAAAACGGAAATCATCGCTCTCGTCTCAGTCTCGAAATGTATCGACTTCTCTCGTGATGACTCCCAGTCAATTTATCTCATCTCGGTCTCAAGGTTTTCGTGTTTTTTAATATAAAATCTCGGTTTTTCTCGTTTCTACACATAAAAAACGTGACCCGAGTCGAATATCTCGAGTCGAGTAGTCCCTGTTTACTCATGCGTTATTGAAATAAAAAATGCAATTATTGTTTTTTTTTATCTCGAAAATCGACATTTTAGGAGGGTGTGGAGGGGAGATGCATGTATGCAGAGGCTTGATATTTTTACACAACAAGGGGAGAAGGTTGCAGAATCTATTCTAGCCACTCTTGTCCCTCCGCTTGCATGCATTGTCCAAATAAAAAATGAAATTGTTAANAAAAGTCCACTTTCCCCCTGGAAAAACAGAAAATCTGACCCTTTGAAAAACTGAAAAAAAAAACTTTTTCAGTTTTCACTTTTTCCACANAAAAGTCCACTTTCCCCCTGGAAAAACGGAAAATCTGACCCTTTGAAAATCTGAAAAAAAATTTTTTTTCAGTTTTCACTTTTTCCACATACTTTTGAGAGTTCTGAATAGCCCGCCGCTTAAATAGATGGAATCAACGTTCACTCGGCTAAAAAATTCGATTTTGGCGAAAGTCGACTTTCCCCCGGGAAAAACGGAAAATCTGACCCTTTGAAAATCTGAAAAAAAATTTTTTTTCAGTTTTCACTTTTTCCACATACTTTTGAGAGTTCTGAATAGCCCGCCGCTTAAATAGATGGAATCAACGTTCACTCGGCTAAAAAATTCGATTTTGGCGAAAGTCGACTTTCCCCCTGGAAAAATCCAAGATCTGACACTTTGGCCCTCGTGACCCTTGTGACCCTTTGACCGACTTTCCCCCTGAAAAAATCCAAGATCTGACCCTTTGGCTCCGGGTGAAAAAAAAAACTTTTTCAGTTTTCACTTCTTCCACATAATTTTGAGAGTTCTGAATAGCCCGTCGCTTAAATAGATGGAATCAACGTTCACCCGGCTAAGAAATTCGATTTTGGCGAAAGTCGACTTTCTCCCGGGAAAAATCCAATGTTCGTTGAAAGCGAGATCATCTCTCTAAAGCTCTGTCTCGTGATGTCTCATGAAACGCCTCGCGGCATCACTAGAGAAAGAATTTGAAAGAAAAAAATATAAGCACGAAATCATTTCCCCCTTGAGATCACAACGAGACTGAATGTTACCAGTATAATGTAATTAAAATGATAAAATATAAATTTCAGATCCATACGACAATTGAAATTATCGATGACTATAAAAATTCAGACAATTATGGTTCTGAGTTGTCAATCCATGAATAAGAAATTCGAAGAGCTGTTTGATCTCGAGTTCAATTTAAATTCACAGCATTAAACATTTGAATGTAGTTATTGTC